TTCGCGCATTGGTGATTCCCACATCGGGCCTCTGGATCTTTGCCAACGTGAATGGAGCCTTCATCTTGTCTCAAGTGTTAGCAAAATCTACAAACGTCTTCGTGCTGACCAAGGTGATCAAACGGTTACAGATGCGCGGTTTCTCAAATACTTCGCGGATCTGAGCGTTAGGTACTCTTTGATGAACATATACTCGAATCTGGAGGACTGGGAAAGGCTTCAACGTGAGCTTGTGACGGTTTTACCATGTGATGACGTGCTGCGCTTCTGCAGCACACCGAAGGCGTTTCCATGGGAGGCTGAATTAGTCGCTAGTGTGGAAGAACATGCATCGTCACCACCACCGTACACACCTCAACACAATGACCAAGAGGTCTTTTGGCATTTTCTGTTCTCAAGACTGTTCAAGGCGGCCAGAGATTTGATGGCAGGCCAAGTTTCGCACACTTCAGGGGTATCCGAGGCGTCCTCCGAGTCTACTCGGCTTCAAGAACATGAGGCTAAAAGTCAAAATGCCGCCGCAGAAATCGAAGCTCGGCTGGAGGCAGCAGCATCTCAGCGTCAGTCACAGGAACAAAAACGTCCTCGGAACAACATATCGAGACTTCGGGCCTTGGGCCTACCTGACTCTTTCAGCTGCATCGCAGATCCTAACGTTGATAGTGCAATAGCACACTTCTTCACCCTTGCGCAAAAGAAGGAGATACTCAACGAAGCGGAAGCGAAGGACCTGCGACTGAAGATCAGGGCTGTGGCGCGGATGTCGCCCGAGTCGTATGCTAAGTACCTGGGGAACTTGGAAATCATCTATCAGCTCGCACAAAAGCTTTCTGCCAAAGTTCCAGGATCGATGCACGTTGGGTACGCATCGGATGAAAGCGATACAGGGAGTTCAGACAATTATATGGAGGAGGAAACGGACGAAGACATCGAATTTGATACTAATGCCGGGATGACGCAGTTTGACTGGGGCTGGTGAAGAGGTAACTGTCAGATTGATCGCAAGTGCGACATTCGTATATGCTGGGGAATGTTAGTCTGCTAGGGAAAATGCTATTTCAGATTCAATGTGTAGGGGGCGTTTGGTCTGGTCTTCTTACAGTTCTCCTTCTGTGTACCTACTGGACTTTCCATCTACAAAAAATCTACTGCATAGCCTTAACACCAAGCAACTCCTGCGCGTTTCCATAGGCAACCTTGTCCATATCCTCCTTCGAACATAGCCCACTTCTCCCAAGCTCATCCATAAAGTCTTTCCCTTCCTCGTTGCTCGAGAATGGATAGTCAACGCTGTAGAGAATGTGCTCAATCTTACAGACTCTCAGCAGACACGCCATAGGGGGCACAGAAAACATGCCAGCAGTGGTGATATAAATGTTCTGATCCCACACGGTCTGTAGATCTCGCTGCCGCTCCGGCCATTGCTTCTTGGTAAAGCGTATGATGCGATCCAGCATGTACGGCAGCATCTCGCCCATGTGTCCAATGATGATCTTCAGCGTGGGATACTTGTCGAACAAGCCGCTGGCAAAGAGGCGCAGTATGTGCACGCCGGTTTCCGAATGCCAGCCCCAGCAGTAGCTGTCGAGGCCTTGCGCTACGATCTCGGGATAATTGCCGGAGCCTTTCGCCATTGCTGGGCCCGGAATTGTCGGGTGCAGATAGATGGGCACGTCGAGGGCTTGGCATTGAGAAAAGACGGGCCAAAAGAAAGTGTCATCGTAAAAGCGACCTTTCTCATGGTTGTTGACCAATGCCCCCACGAATCCCAACGTCTTGACACAACGCTCCAGTTCCTCGGCGGCAGCGGCAGGCTCGTTCATGGGAACCATGGCGAAGCCCGCAAAGCGCCCTTTGCTCCCTTCCACCGCGGACTTGAGCTCATCGTTGGCTTTGCGGCAGATCTCTCTGGGCGCCGAGCCGTTCGTGGGGCCGTGGGATATCACCTGCAGCGTCACCGAGCCAGCGTCCATGTCTCTGAGTCGTTCATCACTGAGATTCGATAGCTTGATGGTGATTGGAGGAGGAAAGTGTTGGATAGCGGTCGGAGCTGCATCAGAGGCCCATGCACGAGTGGTTTCGGAGAAGAAGTGCTCTTCGAGAGTAATCAAAGGTCCAGTCTTGGCCATTATTGAAGATTCCTTTTCTCAAATTGTTCTTTGTGGCGAGGGCAGGTACTGTGTGATTTCTTGATTAGGTTGGTGTCGATAACAAGATATTAAATGACGTGCATGACTTTGTCGCTCATGGGCGCCGGAAGGCTAAAATTTCCAGCTGCACAGAGCCTAAGAATAGCATCTTCTCAGCGCCAAGACTTAGTGTACAGCAGTCCTTTGAGCAACTCCCAATACCCAGAGAAAAGTCAAGAGACGCAAGCGAATACTCTACAACATCTCATCCCTTTCTCACAGTCTCAAAAGCCTTACGGCTGGCATGCGCTGCATTTTGCAAAGCTTTCACTCCCCAACTATCCACACGACTGCCCAAGGCGTTCTCATCCACGAAACATGCATGTGGAAAGGTACATCCAAGCTTACCAATGTGTTCCCAAGAATGTTTGGATTGAAGGGTAGGAAACACTCTGATGCGGTATCATCCACAAAGCCAGCGGAATTTTTGGAGCGGAGTCGAAATCAGAAATTGTGCCCCCACCTCAATCAGTCCGCATCTACCATGCAGCCTAGTCTGGTGCTCTAGTCTGCCGCTATGCCTCAGCTCCTATTTGCTGGGCCGCGGAGCACTTACGTACCTTTGACCGTAAAGTGATCTGAGAGATAAGGAATCATATCTCTAGCACCATAAACCCGCGTAGGCAACTCTTGCAACGCATCATTGGCCCAAGCCTTATCCTCAACCAAGCGGTAGATTGAACTCCTTGCCTATCAGTATGGCTGGGGGTTTCTTAACTCAGCTTGTCACAATCGAATTACCGGAGGACGAAAGTTGCATAATCTGTATGGAGGCACACGGCGCTACCCTTTCGGAGAACAGAGCTGCCGAGAAAGCCGTCCGTCTACCCAGCGGTCACGTTATTGGCTCAAGGTGCGTCACACTATGGCTTTCCCCGGAGAACAGAAACCAGAATTCTTGCCCTTACTGTCGATGCGAGCTTTTCGCCCTCACCCAAAAAGGGGAAAATGTCGACGATGAGGACGAGGAAGAAGATGAACCTGCGTGGCGCTACCGCCTGTGGCGAGAGGAGTGGGACGTCATGCTAGGGACACGTAACACACATGGCAATACAGCCCTCGAAGCGCAATGGCTACAATGGCGGAGAGACTGGAACACGGCAGCCACTCGGTTGGAGCAAGGCAGCATGGATACAGCGACAGTGGCACGAAACCTGCTTCGGACCCAGCTTGGACTGTCGCAAGGGTTCTTCGACGGACTCGGAACCGAATGGCCAATTGCGGAGGTCGCGTTATCTCTTCAGATCATGCGCCTTAGGGAATGCCGCCTCTACAACCAGTTCGCCGCTGGTTCTTCTCGGTACTTGCAAACTCCGCCTGACGGGTCGATTTCGAAGAATCAGGAAGATGGGCTCTTCAAGGAACTCAAGCGTTCCGGAGCGTTTCGTAGTATTCTGATGTCGATTGTTAACAAGCGCAAGAAGTGGGACATACTTCGTGGACAAGGGCTCGTTTGGGATATGACTTGCGAGGTCTGGTATTCGAACGTTTATTAGATGTCTGTCAACCTCAAGAGGTATTAAGTCTATAAGTATGTTAGTGGTCAAGCGAAGCGATGTCCATAAAGAAATAGCAGTGCTGTTGTAACGTTAAAGCGGTTCACAATCATTTTTCTCACCTAGCTCTATGTTGCTCTATTTCTTTCTGCGATACGTCTTTCACAACATTCCAATATGCAAAGCGTACCAGAATCTCAAGTAGTAGACTCACATTGAAACGATGAGAGCGCGACCGTGGGGCAGCAAATGTTCTAGTCTGCGCTGAAGATATATCCCTCCGTGCAAACGGAATGACCTACCACAGTACATTGCCCGAGAAGCCCATTCTACATCCCAAAATCCACTCGATTGAAACTACCTGCTGTTCATGCACGCCAACCATCCTTTGTTTGACCAAGGTAGATTTCGATCATCGCTCCGAAACGGACAATGGAATAATGATGTCAGTAATGGCTTTGTCCGATATATCCCAACCGTACCACAAATGCTGGCCTTATCGCGGCGTCAAACAGCTTCAGCTCTTTCTGCCTCTCCATACATCATTCTGTCCCAGATTTTCAGATCCAAAGCCTATCCAACATTCATATCTCATTATGGCAAACGAAATTCTTTTTCTCGCTTCAGCAAGTCCCGGACGACGAATTGCCAGATCGCACCCGCATGGGTTGCAAAGAAGAAGAACCACAGAGCGCCGGCAAGCGCTCCTGCGAATGATGCCGTCTCACTTTGCTCTCGGGAGGCCAGACACTTGGCTCTCATCTTGGCGAAATCGAATATTTATACTGGGGTTCGATTTGCTCGGGTACCAGGATGGGTAAAGCAGTAATTCGTCTTTCATGTGATCCTGCGGTTGGCGAAAAGGGCATCGAGGTGTGGATTCTGCCTCCACGGGATGGAAGGTTATTTGCGTCAAGCCTAACTTGAAGTGCGCGTGGGGCCGCTCAGACAAACAGCACAGATGTCAAGATCATTATAGAAGACAATCCATCTCATGCTGGTTGGATAATCTTCCCAGAGCGCAGTGCTGGACCAGGGGCAGTCTCGGGCACGCTATCTAACGGACAAACAAGACACGCCGACACTAAGGGCATGTGTACCGCCGCTCACCATCTAGTCTGGCTAAGTCTGCGCAATCAAGGCGTATGCTGCGTCGGAAACTTCTGATCAATATTATCATGCAAACCGAATGAAACGAAAAAGGAAAATCAGTGCGTTCCCGAGACACGCAACGTGGACAAGTTTGTGTATTCAAACTTGAAGATAGCAGAGCGCCGTTCCTAAACACTTCATATCTCTCCGCTGCAAGTTGTCCATGGCTCTCAACCCTTCAATAGGACCTGACCACCCATACTCCGAGGACCTGTTCGACCCTTATCGAGTACTAGAGATGATCGTCTCATTTAAGATAGCCAGTAAGATACATGACGGAACGGCCTCGTCTTTCCTAAACGCAATGGCCAACTTGGGCGACGATCCCAACATGAAGTCCACCAACGCCGTCCTCAGCTCATTCGGCGATCTCAACCACACGGAACAGGACAAAGTCATGGAGAGTCCCAAGGTAATGTCTCGAGCATGTAAATCACTCGAGGGGTTGGAAACAGACGCTAAGATTGATCAGTACTGGAATTCGCTTGCGGAGTGGGGCACGGAAGAAGACCGCGAGGAAATGTCTCGCAGGAACGTGGACAGACTCAAGGAAGATCTGGAAGATACGACTGAAGGTGTCAGCACCAGAAAGTCCGCAGCGGTCAAGGCTGAAGCGGCTCGGTTGCTTGCTACGATTCCCAAAGAAGGTAAGCTGTTCGAATGGACGAGGGCAATGGTCTGCAAAGAGGATTCAGGGGATGGTTCTGCAGCTGGCAAATGAGGGTTGGGACAAAGTCAATGAGCAGGTACTTGGGGTTCATGCTGTAAGACAAAGGTGGAGCAGCGGATTGACAAAGCCGAGGGAACCCCGTGTAAGAGCGCCTGGTTTTCGTTCGTAGTCACTGCTCTCTTAAGAATGTCTAATTCATAAGTAGTGAACCCGCCTTGTTGACTCGTTCGCCTCATTTCCGTACAATTGTAAATTTCATTAACTTCCTCCCTCATCCCCTCATCCCCTCATCCCCCATCTCTCCTGAAAGCCGTCGCTCCTCCGTATCCCCTATTGTCAATCCGCACTTCCATTTCAAGTTCGTCTCTTCGCCGGCAAGTTCCCACACACGTTGCCATGAAGATCCATCCTGTCCTTACACCTCACCCGTCTCAAAACCCAATGGGTAGACGCCAGGTTCAATGTGTCCTAGCTGGTGTCTGAAAAGTAACGAATCTGACATGTTGCGTAGCAGCTCGACGAACTGTCTTGCGATTCTCCCAGTCGAAGAGATGGAAGAGGGAGCCGGCGAAAATCATATCGAAAAATACCCTCCAACCTTGCCAGGGTATAAGAGTATTGCAGGATAGCCGCCCTGACAAACGTGCTTTTCAGCCATCTTCTGTCCAGAAAAAGATCGTGATCAGTATTCATCAATCCCTGGTTCAGATGTAGGCCACATATGTTCTCGGATGACGCACCATCGTGGACTATCCGCCGGATATCTTGCCGAAGCATCAACCCAGATCCAAAAGCTTCTCGTCTTCTTTAATTTGCGTTACGATTGATGGATAGAGGGTATTGAGGTGGATGGCCAACAGGAGGAACAGGAAAGAGCCGATGCAGTGGTATGGAAATGGGAATTGTCAACCTCGACCGCGAAATCAATTGAAAGAAACGGTGCGATTTAAACGCACCACTGCTTTGACATGATCTATTAGGCGATCCGGACGTGTATCGCTGTACTTCTCTAGCAAATCTCGTGCTGGTTGCGGAGTTGCCCTGTTCCAAAGCACGTCCTTGTCCGCAGCACTAGGCTTAGGTTGGGTTTCAGTCATAGTCGGAATGAGGTGCGGTGAAACTGATGAGGGGTCGCAGGTCTCTATCGTACAATACGTGAGGGTAGGCAGACCTGCGATTCTCGTTGGGTCTGAGAAGTTGCTCGCAGGCTAGTAGGCACTAGGTAGGTAAGATCTTACGAAGATGATTAGGCAACAAAGCTGAAATCTGTGAACTGCTGAATGAGTAATTAATCTCACTCAGAATACTGTGGGGCGTCTATAGACGTCCTCTTTGAAAGATGAAGACCTGACTTAATCCTTGTACACGATGCTGACTGTAAATAGCACGACCACCATAACGGCATTCACAGCCGCAAAGATCCCGAAACCAATCTTCCTTTTTACATCCAGTCTCCCTACCACAAAATCACCGTCCAGATCTCTCCTCACTAACGGAATAGCCAACAAAAAGCCCACCCCAGCAAGCCAATACCCTACCGGTATCATCACTGCCAGCGCGATCTTCGTGCCATCAAGATAGGCTTGGCTGCTCGGATCAACATTCCTCAGGGCAAGACCTATGATCTCCGGACCAGTCGAGTATATGATGACCTGTATAGCATCCCAGATGGAGAGTGCGAAGGTTTTATAGCGTGGCGGGAAGAGGAGGACAATGATACTGTTGATGGCCCCAAGCCAGAGTTCCGCTGTGATGTATGCTGCGCTCATGGTACCGTAAAGGACCCTCACGCCGCTGTCTTGGTTGCCTCCCGAGGCTTCCAGCGAGAAGAGCATCAAGAGGACGAAGACCGAAGAGATCATGCCCCCAACACCTACGAGGTAGAGGGGCAGTATTTTCGTCTTGTGCCAGTACGCAGACGTGAGTAGACCTCCTAGCAACACTGCTACAGAGCCAATCACGCCAACTATAATGCCGTAGTCCGAGAGTAGGTTGGACTTCGAGGGATAGAGAGTTGAGAGATAAGTCGGCATATAGTAGCCAAAAACATTGCCTGCGAGCTGGCGAAAGGAAGCTGCGAGAACTAGAAGCCAAAAAGATCGCATATGGAGAATGTAGTCCAGGGTCGCTGTCAGGTCTTTGCTGGCCATAGAAAGCTTAGCGCTCCTCGTAGCGGTTTGGGAAATTGTATGATCGCCCGGTATATCGGGAAAGGAATCGTTGACTAATGAGGTTTGTCGAAGGGGTTCGCGAATTAACAGCCGAATGAAAACAGCGACCACGATACCGACAATGCCGATGGCGATGAGAGCGGTATTCCAAGGCGTGTTGGTCCTAGCAAACGCGACAGCGATTTGCCCGGATACCGCTTCCCCAATGTAGACGCCTACATATAGTACGCTGAAATGTATATTAGTGCAAGGGGAAAGGGAGGCACCATGAAGCCTTACCTTTCTCCAAAGAACACATACTCTTTCCCCATCAGATCGCTGATCAGGCTCACACTCAAGCATTCGACGGGTGCTTGACCGATGCCCATACCAATCCTGGCAAGCAGTATCTGCCAGAAGTTATGACTCAACCCTTGAAAGATTGCACACAAGCTCCACCAGATTGCAGACACTGTTAGAACCCAAACCCTGGCTGTCGTATAGTCAGCGATATACGCCGCTGGCAATGCGAGCAGCGCGTAGACGATGCCGGTCGCATAACCTGACAAGATACCATAGGAGGCTTCTGATAGTTTGAGGGAGGTGATGACCTCATCTTGAAAGTAGGAAAGGACAAATTTATCGTATTGGGCAAGGAAATAGTTGAGGAAGAGGAGGACCAAAGAGATGAATATGCGCCAAGCGGGCACTGTTGGTCTGGTTGTAAGAGGTTTAGAAGGCTGTAGTTGCTGTGAGGAGACTTCGATCGCGGGAGTCGGGTCATCTTCCCTAACATTGATCTCTTCTCCTTTTGTAGTCTTCTCCATGGTGTGTTCTCACCCACTCATCAACGACCGATGGCGTCTCTAACGTTCTTTTTTCCGATGGTCTTCAAATGCGGGGTTTGTGTAGTCCTGTCGTTAATTGTATTGTCGTGTTCGTACTCTTGTCGTCCTTACCACTCGTAGTTGAGAAACGCATTTGGCTCGTAGATGGTGGGCATTGTGGCCGTCATGTCTCGTTGTTCTCCCGAAAATCATCCCAACGCTGGAATAACCCAAGCCGTCCTCTGAACGATTCCCACGCTTACCAGAACAGCCATCAACCAACAAAGCCCTTCAATATAGCCTGGAAACACAAGCATCCCAGTAAACAAGACACCACTCTCCAACCCCTCAACCAAAGCAGGCCGCATCATTACACTTGTCAATTCTTTTCCCGATGCACTGTCTTTCGCTTGCCGCTTCTCTGAGATGGCGGCTATGTAGAACAAAATGAAATTGTTCACATGGAACGTGGCTTCGAGAATGGCAACGGCTTGCCAACATCTGATTGTCGACTCTTGTCCGGCTGAGATGGTAATTGGAATGATCGAGTAGACGATGAAGTCTCCCAAAAGATCGAGAAAGCCCCCTAAGTCTGACGCTGTATTACGATGACGAGCTAACGCGCCGTCTAGGCAATCAAGAAAGCGGTTAAGAGCCCAGAAGCCTGCGGACAATAGAGGCGAATTCAGATAGGCGCAGTAGCAGGAAAGAAGGCCAGCGAGGAATGCAGCAGCTGTGACGTGATAAGGGGTAATCTGACTGGGTATAAAGCGACAGCATGGATCGAAGAAGTCGTCTTTCAAAGAGCGGAGTCGAATGTCAAACATGTTTACAATTTTGACCGGGTTGGGGAATGTTGAAGTCGAGGAGATTAGAAAGAAGGAAGACAGAGAGAATGCCAACACAAGCCACGTGACGTGTAATCGGGTCGTCCTTTCCCAAGTAATGTCCTCATCCAATCAAGACTATGACGCACTCCAGCTCCGGCGAGTATATTTTTTGCTATTGTCTGCCAGAGAGCGGGAGTTGTGTGTCACTGCGCCTGGAAGTCAAGATGCCATCCTCTATCTCATACCTGCGTGCCATCCTTGGCCTCGTCCTTACCAATGCCATCGCGTAACCCTTCCCCCTACCAACGCATCCTAATCAGGCTCTGTACCCACCTATACCACACACCCGTCTACCGCGCACCCACCTTCAAACCATTCTGGACAGTGCTCTGCTACGCCATTATTGACGTCTCCTACACCTACAGGTACACGCACAATCCGTGTCTTCAACGGAGGTCCAGAAAGAGGGCATTTACAGCAAGCTCATACCCAAGCTTCGGCGGCGAAAGCATCGCATTAGCGGTTGTTGGTGGATATACATTCGGGAATGGATCTAGAATGGAACTATAACAAGATCTTGACCGCCGGTTGGACAGCTGGGAGCAAGAGACGCAATGCCCATCATATAGGTTGGACCAAATACTACCAGCTCCTAATTTAACTGCTGGAAATACGCCCCGGATTGGGTGACGGAGACCAAGTCAGACGGGAAGTATGGTGGAACGGGATTGCCAATCTCACCCAGAATACACTTCTTTATACTCATCAATGAGGCCCTGCAAGTCAGCAGCCACGCATGGCGCCACTAAATCCTTTATCCAGTCTTTCCTCCGATGACTGCTCAACCGTAGCTGGTCTAGAAGCATGTCTGTGTAGGCCAAAGTATCGAGCGGGAACCAGCTTCCCAGCTGCCCCTTATTTAAATATCGCCTACGACACCAAGTCACCGTTTCTACGATCTCTTCCTCCATGCGCGACCTATCGAGCTTCAACTTGCCATCGAGGTAGGCCACAGCCCACAACGCTTGCACCTCTGCCACGCGAAAGTTGTTACCCACGACCATCATACCAAGAAAAGCGATAGAGTGATTGTCTATATCTGATGGAGGGGCAATGGCTTTGTAAAGACGAAAAGGCGTATGCGAGGGTTGTGCCGGGCGATAGGGTGGAGTCCGTGCAAGAAACGGAAAGCGGCGCAGTATATCTTGGTCTTTGGCCCCCTCCAGCGCCCGCCACTTTGCTTCCTCCTCTTGGTCCTGCTCTGACAGAGGCACCGCAAGGCCTAGCTTCACAGCATCACGAGGCGGGAATATTCGAGACACGGGGTCCCAGCCTGTACATAAGACAACAACATCGACCAGAATGTGACGAGCATTATTTTCTGCTGCGACATTTGGCTCGAGAGTTATGGAACGGGGCGAAAGATGTTCAATGGATTGGCGGTGAACACTGACGTTTTGCGCAATGGTGGAGAAAAAGTCTGGGCGTTGGTTGATTCCGGGGCTATCGTTCTGCCAGAACATGCTGTCTCACTCAATCAATATCTTTGTCGTTGAAAGAATGCCGGTCCACTAACGTACGCTGTATCAGGTTCGAGATTTTGAAACCCCATCGCTTGCCCTTCGTCTCTATGAAAGTCGGCTTTCGCCCTCTGGTCCTCATCTACAATATTCCACAGCTTTTCAAAGAACCATCTACCTACTTTGGTACGGTGTAAGAAGTTTGAAAAGTAAGAACTCTTGGAGAACGGGTTCGGCAAAAGGGGAACAACGAGTCGAGTATAAAAGCCGTCAATTGAGCTAGCATACCCTCCTTTTCCCTCCGCAGACAGCAAAGCTCCTGGACCTCCACCTTCTTCCCGAATAATCCAATGAACATCCTTGCCGGCTTTCGCGCAGGCATATGCGACGTCCGAGGCGGATTTTGCGCCGCCCAGGACCGCGATGTGATGTCTTGAAGGATCGGAGAGGAAGCTGGATTGGCCAAAGTCTTTGTGGTGAATCATCAGGCCTTCGAATCGGTCTTTACCTGGGATATCAGGGACGTGCGGTTCGGATGTCATGCCTGTACAGTCGATTACTTTATCTGCATGGAGAATCCTTCCCCTATGACAAGTGATTGTCCAGGAGCCTTCAGTATATCTCTCGAGGCGTTCGACTTGGGTACCGAAGCTGATCCTGGAGCGCAAAGTTTGGGCGTTGTATGCATGGTCGTCGACGTAGGATTCTAGATACTCGGTCACGTATTTGGCAGGAAAGAAACCGTAGTATTGGTTTTCTAATGGAGGGGGTGTCATGGGGCGGTCTGAGAACTCGGCCATGCCGATGGGAGTCTGGGTCCAGAAGGATTGGTAGATACGCTCTGTGGAACGTCATTACGAGTAGTTGTAGGATTGAGAACACTGGATGAAGCATGAAGTAGCCATGAACCTTGAATACAAGGTCCAAAAACAAACATTGCACCTCTCTTTTACACAAAATTACACAAAACACACAACGTCTACGCCAGTCAAGAATTGTAAAGAGATCAGAATGACATACTCGAGCTCCACGTTCCGCCCACTACGTCGTCACCTTCCAAAATCACCAGTTTCGCCGTAGGTTGTATATCCAGATAGCATCGAGCTGCCTGTATGCCATAGAGGCCTAGAGTAATTCTCATATTAGCACCTTCACCCGACCCGATTGGAATTCTCAGGCGGGAGTCACCGGCTCCGAGAACGACGACGTCGTAGATGTCCCGCTCATCTTTGTCGCTCATTGTCTTTGTTACCGACTGGTTGAAATGGCTTGCGAAGCGGATGTTCTGTAGATGTGGATGATGGATGCCATTAGGGTCGTCGCTGGGTTTGGTGTGAGCTAGATTCGAGAGAGCAGTGGAATTTGAATTGTTCTGAGGGAGATGTCTTTGAAGGTAAGGTAAGCAAGACGACGATTTCAGGCCTGAAGCCTAAAGTAAAGTAAGGTCCGCTTCGGCGCTTCGGCTGGCGTTTATTAGCGTGTGCAGAAAGCTTTGGATTCTTGGCATTGAGAAAACCACGCCGCCCGTTTGTTACCTGTTGCACCCTGTCTATATCTTTACATAGAATAAGTCGATACGAACATTTACGAGATAATCAATGTCCTTTCTGTCTTAATTTTCAATGGGATTTTCGTTAATCGCGATTGGCTCTGTCGAATTTTAACAATCAACATATGTCAACCTTCGCAATTCATAATCGAATCTAAGTGTTTCAATTAAATCCACGTTTCTGATTATGGTCAGAGCTTTTATGCAGCTTTTGAATCATTTCTCCTTTGATTGAGATTGTGTGCAGTACTCAGGTATCAAATAGAGGTCGCCTTCTCACAGTGCCAAGACTTCTTAAGCTTTCTGCATACGCTAACACCGGAGCTCGATGGCCCACTAAGACATTCACAGGCATCAACAGCCTTCACCTAGCATACTCCCAGCATCATTCAAATGAGTAAACCTATGGCTCATTTCAGTCATGACTACGACCCTCTACATCCTCTACAATGCCGACGCCTCCGTGATGGGAAAGCTAAATTACGGCTACCGGAAGCTCACATCGCCAAAGGACAAGCCAGCGTGTTCCGCATGCGATATCACGCACGGTGGGCTGCATTTAGAGGAGACGGCGGCGTGGAAGGAGGCGAAAGTGACGTTGGTGAAAGAGGGTCACGTGGAGATTAGACAGATGCATAGGGATGAGTTGACGTCAGAGGTGAGCAGATTGACATTCCTGTTTTGTAAGAGATGAAGCTGTCTGGGGCTTATATGAAGCGCGTAGATCAAGTCATTCGTACAGGAAAAGAAGCTGTCGTACCCCATAATACTGGCCGGTGAAGGGGAGGGCGATTTACGAGTCGTCATGGATAGACAGGAGTTGGGGGAGTGTGGAGGTAACGCTCAGCAGCTGGCTGCGAAACTACGGGAGAAGGGAGTGGTGTCTTCAAGCCATAGTTCCTTATAGTCATGGCGCATTGCTCTTACGCTTTTTCGTCGAGATCACGCACAACGTTGACGGAGACCGACTTATCGGCATCTGCGTAGGGAGGTGCTTTATGCCTTTCGCCTGCAGCTCGGGCTTCACGTCTTTCTGCCACCCAAGCCAACCATATACGCTCATCGGAATGCTGTCTACTTTCGCTTGCAGCGCAATCTTCGTCTGTCATTCTTCGTTCGACTTTCCCAGGCCTAGTCAGTCCCTTGAACTGCTGTAAAACTTTATCCTACGTGTGCAGGCTTCTTCCTCGAGACTGAATCAGGCTTCGAAGAGGCGGAGTAAGCTCATGGATGGCTGTGAACACCGGCGACATGGTGAGCGACCAAGCTACTGGTGCTTCCTGGTTAATCTGATCCACTCATCGACAGTGGAGGACAAGAAAACAAACGACAAATTGGTTGTGTCAAATCCAGAAATTGGCAAAGTTGAAATTACGTGTCCAGGCTCGTTGGGGTCTGATTGACACCGACTGTTCGTTGATCTATTAAGGTAGGCTTTATCGTGCGAAAGCCAGGCTCTTTCATCTCCATGTATTCAAAGATCTTATATTCCGCCTTTAGTGGTGGCTTTTCTGGTGTAGTGGGTCTGTCACAGATCCCCATCTCGCTTCGGCGAATGCTGACAAGGCCATCGATACTTTTCGATGGGGGTCTCTCGAGGGAAGCCGCGGCAATAATGGACCTACTCGCCGCAGACACCGCTTTTAAAGCCCTCGGCGGATTGGACGGGGCACCTTGGCGAGCTGATTCGGGACGAGCAAGGTCAAGAAGTGACATACTATATACTCTAACTCATGCGGCCTCATATCCCATAGATGTTTAATTGGCAGGCACGTGATGTTTTCCCCACCGGCGCGATATCTTATATTTTTACTCGGCGTCGATAATATCCGAGGAGTCAATTTTGTTGGTCGCTTAGATATGGCGCGGATAGCTGCAAATGGTGTGCTTGGAACGCAGGAAGCACCCTGACTATATTTTGAGTGGGGTATGGTTGTAGGCTTATCGCTAGTAAAGCGTTCTGCCGCAACGCTTGACGTTCTTGAGGGGAGATATCTACATCCTCTAAATTTCTCTTCATTTTCTTTGGACTCTATGTTCCGGCCATTGGTCTTGTAGGCTCGAGATCGCGTCGAATTCCATGCACAGAATGGTCTTCATATCGTTCCTCCACGTTTCACTGTTCTTTATCAGTCTCAAAGACTCGTTTGCGATGAATCGGATACACAACCCAAACACTACTTTTTTGACCTCCAACCTGACCCTGTCCTCTCTGCCGATCACCCCTTTCGGTGCCAACACGTCTTTGACCCTCCCAACGGTCCATTGCGATGGAGTTACCTACAAAAGCAATCTCCTGAGTGCTAGTTGCGCCGATGCCTACCGTACAATCCCCAGGACAACCAAACTACTCACATTCGGCGATAGGGAAGATGGAGACTTCGAGGTCCCTCTGCCTTACAGATGGGTAAGCTGTAAGAAATTTTTCCTTTCTCTACCATTTGCTGCCTCCAGACCACTCGCTAGGTGGCTGACATCGCTACCCCGACTGGCAGCGGATGGACTGTGCATCTTCGAGATCGCAAAGATCGCCGATACTCCGGTGGCGTATGCGACCTTGCGGGATTTTGAGCGAGCGGCATTTATGCTCCTGACTACATGTTTCGCAGATGGTAGAACGGAAGGAGGGATCGCTGGTAACCTAGGTGCGTTTTCCATGTTTTTTAATGTAAGTAGAGATCACTTGATTGATGATCAAGGGAATAAGGACCTGGTGTACTGAGTCTCGGCCTAATCATGACCTCTAACCGCCAAATTGTACAATGTACCGGCCCCACCGGCCCTCCACGGGATTCCTGTTACTCGATCATAGCCACAATGCCCGCGTTGAAGGAACAACAGTTGTTCAGTCGTAGCCCGGGAGGCCATGTGAATGTGAGGATACCAGACAGTTTCGAATCACGTAAGCACCCGATTGTATGACATTCGTCTGAGAAACCGTGCCTATTGGGTCATACTGATGGACTCTGATGTATGTACAGAAGACGGAAGGTGTATAGTCACTCTTGATACTATCGGGCGGGAAGATATCGCCACCTGGTATGAGGTCTGGGCGGCCGTGATGGCGGTTGATGATATGTGCATGAGGTTTGGAAGGGTTGGGAAGGCGATGGAGATCGGTAAGTGTTCACGTCGTTGGGAACTTATCTTGTGACCTTCGGCGCTTACGAGATGATTCAGGTGCCTTCAGGAGGCTCTTTCTTGAGATCAACTTTCATGTAGGGCTTTTTTGAGCTCTTGTGCCGCAGTCAATATGAGACGGTCGAATGAGTGGTCGAGGTTATCGAGCGTTTGCAGTATTTACTCGGCTATCAACTGCGAAATAATGGAGTTACGCATTTCTTGATGTTTGGCAACTTCCCGCAAGGGAATTCAGCAAAAAGTATGCGTAGAGACAATCCTAGTTTCTAAGTGTTAAGAGGTGCGCTACCAGAAAGAGGCGACAACAGTAATGGAGCGAAGTTCGAATGAGTACCAATATGAGTAAGGGATACTGCGTTTCTTACGTTGAGTACACTCGATTTTAAGATTTTCAAGATAAATAGCCAACACATTCCGGTTGGTATCCACAAAATTGTGCAAAAATGGGAAGATTGGAGCTCCTATGACTGTGAATTATTTTTGGACAACTTGTCCCATTGGACAGCTATGAAGTCTTGGTGGGACTTGTAACACTCCGAATCCGGTCATCTTGTGCGAACATCCCAGCCAGTACATGTGACTATTCTTGGCAATGACTGAGCCCGAAAAACAAAGCATCGCCGCCACCTTGAGGTTAGATCGTCTCAATGCTTCTGCAGCTGTCCTGAACGAACCGAATGCGCCTCCGAGTAACCATGCTGACCATCTAAACATCCTCAACTGTCCCCATCTCCACCCACTCCATCACCCGCCGTTGCCGTTTCCTCCGCATCTTCTTGACGATCCGCCAACATCCGCTCCGCCACGGTATGAAGTTCTTGTGAAAGCTCAAGCAAATGCGGTAGACGTCTCTGAAGTGAATTAAGCTCGGCCCTGTCGGACGGTCTCAAGGGTTCGCCGCCGTCCTCCGCGAGTCGCTCTCGGTTGCGATGCCCAGCCAACCTGCCGTCGAGTCGTCGCATCAACTCGTCATGTTGGTTCAAGGCACTCCGCATAACCTCGGCGGTTGACGATGTTGGCTCTCCACCAAGCACGCTGCCGACGCGTTGTAGCTCTTGCACGAGGAGCTCCATTCGCTCCTCTGCATTCGGGTCTCCTTCGTAAGAAAGCGTTGTCTCTCCCACCCAATCCGCGACGTCGCCTTCTTCGGGCGGAGAAAAGAGTGTAGGTTTGAATCTTTCGTCGCTGAACAGCTCGCTTCTGCACACGGGACAGGTGGTATTCGGCCGCGTCTCTCGAGGTAAGATCCACTTGCCAATACATTTCCTCCCGAGTACGTGTTGGCACGGAAGTTTGGTGGGCTTTTCGGGGTCCTCGCCTGACATGTATGGCTCGAGGCAAATATCACAAGCCCGCGTGTTTTCTGGGAGGGTAGATACGGAGATTAGAGGGAGGTGGCGTAAGAATTCAAAGGCAGCAGTCGTTGAGAGTTGCCAGGGGTATCTGGAGGAGAAGTCTGGTACAGTGGTGAAAGGAATCTCGACTTCGGTCGATGAGTCCGTCGATTCCCCCCTTAGATTGGGGATGCGTATTCTTTGGAATTCCACCCGCCGTAAACGGCCCCAGGTATTGAGGTCCTCTTCTTCCATTTTCAGCAGAGCACTGGGTACGACTCAGTCGGTATGACCTCTGGCTTAAGGAAAAGCACCGAATACGTCGAAGGGTTGGACGGGGAAGAATGTCGATACTAAACGAAATGTGGTATTTCCACCAGAATGTAAAGAATCTATGGAATAATGTTATAGGGTAGGTGTTCTAAGGTTTCTGATATTCGTTCCGTGGTGGGTAATCTTAATAGCCCAATGTTTTAAATATGATGATGTCGCTTTGTGTGACCGAAGTATCGCCGCTGTCGTTAGTGTGTGTAGCCTTTGTTTATTGGTTACCGACTGGAGCGTTTCAGGTGCTCTTTGACAAGGTTCATGTTTCGGCCGTGCATTCGGGAGAGATACTGCTGTCGCGGATGGATGAAACCGATATTGTCATATGGAATCTAAGCCACCTTTCCGGTCACTCTATTCAGCTCAACAGACGATCGTCTTATCTGTGTTGTCGTCTGAAGCTGCCTAGATATGGTTGACCACCTTGGAAGGTGGATTTACGACGATTGAGCTAGAGTGAAAACGCAGGGAATCGGAGAAGAGCTTGAGCAGGCCTATGAACCATTTCTTCCCAGCTTGATAATTCACAGGAAAGGAAATGGACCTTGACGACACTCTTCTTACTTCTCATTGCTGAGCAAATACAAAAAGCCTTTAAATTTTATTTGTTCTCTTTTGTGCTCAGGGTGTATCTGATTGTTGAAGTTCACCACATGACCTATTAATGTTGGATGAGTCCACGTTTTCGAAAGAAGTTGATTGCCTTTAGATCTCTCACGAGGGAGGGCTAACATGTGAATAGACCCTTTACCACTCCAGCAAACAGCCCACGGTCGAAGTTAACAGATCACAGAGTTCAAGACAAAGGCCTTGCTCTCGGGCCTTCTAAGCTCGGCATCAAGCGCCCCAGCCTCTCCTCTCCAGTACCTCGCCTCCAGTGATCGTCTGCCCAGCTTCGGTCACACTGACAACCCCAGGCGCCAACGCATCTTCAAAGAGCTGGAAGATGAGACCGTCCCAACCTTTGGCAGCTAGAGAACATGGAGTCAGCCTGATAATCGAACTCCGAGTGCTAACATGCAGAGCACGCAATTGAGTCAAAGGTCCGGAAAAACTACAGACTTGCTTACCAAGTATATCCACCGAGACGGGTAAGAACTCGGTGTGGTTCGTGATTGTGGAGTTGTGTACCACAAAGCTTTAGCAAATCGAGTTGAACATCAGGCGTGACACAACCGGAACTTGTTTGGTGATGAGGAAGCAAACCTGTTTGAATATGAGACGTAGGCCGTCCAGGAGTCTAATAACCGTCCGGCTACTTGTTAGGATGTGTGATATCTGCTGCGTCGCGGACGTGGTCGGATGGCACGCGGCAAGCTCCTGTCAGGACTAATGGGCCGAGCCGAGAAAGGCAATTGCGAGGTTTTGGAGATTGCCAAGGCGCCTGGTGAGTTTTAGATTTCTGTGATGAGGCTCATAGGACACTGGAGTGATTGAAAGCGAGAATAATTTTGGGACACGGGTAAAGCACCCAAAGGCTTGATTCTACGATGGGGAATCCCTAGAGCCTATGCATGAAAGCATGACTCTACCGGACGCGCCACAAATCCCAAAAAGCTAAGACTCCGTACTACCAATCCTGTCCAGATGTCCAAAATCTTTCATACAGACTGAACGAGATCTCAATAAAAATCAACAGCCAAACACTGGTTCGTGCTCGCCACATCCGGCACCCCAGTACCTCCTTGGATATAAGCCTTCGACTGCCCCACGGCCTGGTTTTCCCAATCAATCGCAGCCTGATTAGGCCCACTCATCCAATTACCCACGGTCGTCGCCAACGCGGGCGTTCCGTCGGGCTTATCCTGTATAGCGGCCGCAGGCGCCCCGGACAAGACATCGTTCGTGAACCCGTTCGACTGCCCACTTCCGTCCGTTGCGCTGATGGTAGCGGCCCCGTCGCACCCTTGCTCGAGGCTGATGTCCCCGTGGGCGGCATTGTCGTTGGATGCGGCGATTTGAAACTCGACCCACGTGGCCGGCAGCTGCGTTCCGCGCTGGACGCGCCCTTTGAAGGATGTGGGTAGGCTTACGAAGAGCGAGCCGTTGGCGTCGACTTGGACGGTGGGATCCTGGTGGTCGAAGTTCGCGCCTGCGGTATCGTTGCCGTTCCAGTAGTTGTTGTAGAAGGCGTAGGTTTGTTGGCTGCTGGTGTGGTTGTTCAGGATAATGCCTGGGCCGGAGGGGGAGGCATCGCGTTGATGAGTTTGCACGAGCTTGGATCCGGGCTTTTTGAATTGAGAGACAGCGGTAGCTATATGATCATTGTCAGAATCAGGAAGAATGATATTGCTACTAAGATGGAGAGTGTATCTAACTTGGTGGTGTTGCATCGCCATCATTGTAGGTTACCTGGATATCCGTATCCCCCTGCGCAGCTGATGACTGGTTATTGTCACTAGGATTTCCTGAGCTTCCACCCCATGCGCCATTGCCAATATAGGTTTGTCCATCGGCGAAAGATCGGACGAACGTCTCCAGCTGGGGGTAATCCTTGATAGCGGCGATTCTGACTACGTTGCCATTGCCATCAAGTTGCACGCATGGCTGCAAGGATTGCTTGGTGGGACCGTCCGCTGCTTGCCACGCAGTGTTGAGGTTTTGCATGAAGATTGGGTCACCTTTGCGGGTGGATGGGTTATTGACTTGTTGGACTGTCATGTTGCCGCCGGCTCCCATGATGTTGCTCATATCGATGAAGTCGTTCCCTATTCGAGGATTTAGCAAGATAAACAGCCGGTACTCATCCCGTCTCGGCTTACCACCAAACCCATCTTTGGTGATCTCGGCCTGCTCGCCTTCGAAACCAAAATGCAGCGCGATTATTGCGCCCGATGACCCATCCGCTGCGCTGATAACAAATGTCTGACCCGCAGGGACCGTCATATTCTGATTACTATTCCAGCCGTGGACTTCGAAGTCCTGATCATGGCCGGAGAGGTTGGTGATGTTGATGTTGTGCGACATGGTGCCTTTCTAAGAGCTTTGCAAAAGTAGTATGAGATGCGACGAAAATCGGAGTCAAAAATTGTTCTGGGTCCTAGAGGAACTGATAATTGTATAATATATAGCGGGCCAAGAAGTATATACTAAAGGAGCTCTTAACTATGGGAGGAAAATAAATTGGCAGCATGGCGGAAGTCTTTATATAGTGAAGCAAGCAACAAGAAGGCATAAGCAGGCGAGCAGACTCTACCTGTTCACAATATCGACCTCGATGATATGCTGTCCACCAGCCGTCTGATAGAGTCAAGGGATGCCCAAGCCACCAATGAGAGCCTGAAACGACTGGGCTGAGGGTTTGCGCCGCAGGATCTGCTGCGGTTAGAGGAACACAAGTTCCCAGCAGGGCGCCATGAGACGCCTGTCATACAATTGGTGCAATTTCCAAAATAGCTTTTGGCAACCGACCCATTATGGCGCGCGCCAAATACATGGACTCCTGATCGTTGCCAACAATGATTAGGACTCCGAGCATTGCCTGACTCAATCGCGTATTGACCCTGCGATGATGAATGCGATCGGTGCGACAACCGAATTATGGTTGTTCAGTTGGGACAAAGAGAACGTTGACGCCTTACCATCTGTGTCACAGAGTTCAAGATGTTCAAGGTGGCAGAAAAGGATCGATGCTGAAAATTTCCCGTCGTTAAATTCTCCGATCACGTGGTTCATGGCTTACGTCAGCTTATCGCAAGACTCTTCCACTCCTTTTCAGCTCTTGTCTCGCGATACATCCCAGGCAATTCGCCAGGTTTTTGGTGATGAGGGACGGGTAAGAAAAAAACATCATCTTACAAGTATCTCGCTCGGAATCATCTCGGTTGGTGGATGACTCTTTTGGGCCTGCGAGACCGTTAAGAGCTCTTGGAAAGTTGAGAAGTCTTGCATTCGATACCTGGAGACCTTCTGATCAATGCCAGTGAAGGGGATCGGCAATTCTGACTATTGAGTACAATGTGGCATACCCTTTGGTGTTCTCTCTGGTCCGACAGATCCTGTCCTCTAGGCTGTGCTTCCCATAGGAGCGAGTTCATGCACAGCCCCCAGCTGAATTTCCAATCTTCATCCTGACCTGAGGAACCTTGGTCTCCCACTGGGCGAAGGGGATATTGTCTCTCACAGTTTGACAGCATTTACGTTGTCTGATTGCGACTTTTCACGTGTCCTCTAATCCGGCAGGCAATCACAACTGCCTGGCGGTGGGAATCTCAAGCCCCTCTTACATGATCAACATCTGCTTGTTCGATCGAAAAACCACGTCCAGAGTGATCCTATCAGTAAGATAATTCATCATCACTATCAGCTGCTCGGCCGACAGTCTAGTTAACGCATTCTGTCAGAGCTATGGAAGAGTCTTGGGATCACAGATAGCCTTTGTGGCTACGAAGCGAGACGTTGACACCTGCGAGAAGCCACACAGTGCACTAACGCATCCATAAACGGGGAAACAGTAGCCACACAGTGCAGGTTAGTCAAAGCGGTTTCGTCCTGCTGCAACGAGCCTGGAGAGCCCTTTGGAGAGGGGTCGACGATAGCCTTGTGCCTCACCTCTCAAGAGTTTCGCAGTCATGGCAATTGCCCATCAAGGGATTCTTGTACAGCCTCTCATTTGCGATGCAAGAGTGACATCATCAGTGAAGACATGTATGTACCTAAAACAAGCAGCGAGAACAAGCTCACTCAAACCCCTTCCCTCCCGTTCCTCGCAACCATCTGATCCCTACTCGCATTCATCCTCTGTGCATAAATCCTGTTCTCTACTTCAATTCTCGTCGTCATCATGATTCCGCCCTCGCCCATCTCGCTGAGTATTTTCTCCGTACTATCTCTCTTTCCATTAAAAGCCTCAGACCGTCCCTTGGTGCCTACTGTGTATGCTGAGGTCTTGCCTGGTGAGACTGTGGATGAGGTGAGTGTGGCTTCATCGTCGAGGCGGAGCGTGTTGGTGTTGCGGCTGCGGTAGTAGGTCGTGCTTGAGGCTTTGTTGAAGAGCTCTTTGATGGCCGGACGGAGGGGTGGGATAGAGCCGGCTAGGAGGACGGTGTACTGTTCCACACTATAGGCTGTCAGGTGAGTGCTCCCTATTCAAAGCGCACCGAGGATGCCGAGACTTACGCGGTCCAGGTCATCAGACCCGTCATATCATCTATGCGAACTCAGTCTACTTCTCATGCCTAGCCTTGGCATGACTTCTCGATAACTTACATGTAATATCGGTCGTTTTCCCCAGCGTGCTAACTTTAGTCGTCTTGAACACAGCACAAACAGCGGCTCTGCATAGTGTCAGTGTTACAGTCTGACGTTCCAATTCATATTGCGAACGAACATCACCCCCGTTCCAAACAAAAGACAAAGAACGACCTTTTTCGTTGTCTTCATCTGCAGGTTCCAGAATATCAAAGTTGGATACAGGGAGATACACAGATTAGAGAACGCAGAGAGGCCTAGATATTCAGCATCATTCCTTGGGCCATGTGCCAGAGCGATAGTCGACTCACTTCCATCCAGATACGCCATATATACATTCCTTGCCCGACCATTGCATGTACCAGGAATTTCTACGTTCCAGAGCTTTGTCATGGGCGAGCACTGCGAGTAGATGAACCCGAGTATCACAATGCCGCTCAATAGCTGGACCAGGCCGACTATCCACAGGAATGCTAGCTTGATATTTGCGTTGCGCGGTCCGTGGATCGTAGCTAAGTATGTCACTGCTGCGATCTTCCCGAATGCCAGCGCGAGCAGTTGGAAGGGCTGCGCGACCCAGCAATATTTGAGGGCCAATACTACGGCATTGGGGGTCAAGGCATCGATGTGCGTCCCCATTCCATAGTGAACGCTAATTTGCGTAAAAACTTGCGACACAATGACCAACAGCTGGGCGTGGGTATCAGTATGGAGCCAAATTTGTGTATGGACTTGAGGGGAAGCGTGGCTTACAAAGGTCAGAAAGGTAAGGTATGAGTCTATCCTCACGAGATGTATGATGAAGATATCGGCGTAGAAGCGTAGCGCAACGACAACCAGGGAGACGACGAAGAACGTCCAACTGACCGCAACCAAGACATTGCCGGCGCTTGCGTTGGATCCTGTTGGCGACGACATGGTTCCAGAAAGCCTTTAGAGGGGCAAACAGTAATGAAGGTGAGAGGAATGTTCCCCTAACAAGTACCTCGCTGTCAATTGCTCTCTGTTCCATGCTTCATCTGATGGTTGCGGCCAAATGAGGCGGGGCCACCAAAATTGCACTTGTGATGGCACCAGGGGCACGGTAAAGATAAAGTATATATTAGTCAAGCCACCCATGCCAATAGGACCTTACATATTTAGGACTGAAGTCCTAAAGTTGAACGCACTTCTATCAAGACTAGAGTCCTAAAGTAAGGTTCACATTTAGGACCGAAGACCTAAAGTTGGATGCTTGTCACCAGTTGAATCATCGTGTCGAAGACGCAAATCGGTGGTGCCATCATCTTCTGGACACCGGCTCATGACCTTGCATATTCGTACCTACCTAGTCTCGGCTGCGCGCAATAGGTAGCCTGGTAAGCTCACTACATCCCCTCCGTTTCTCGGGAACACAAGCTGGGTTTCCTTGGATGAGAGGAAATGCCATGCAGGCGTGGGGCGTACCTGCAGCAGACGTGGTCATTGCGCCGGCACTACTCGTACTCGGTTGCCTCCCGAACCTTCATAGCTGATACGGTGGGGGGAAGATAAGGCCCGCCGATAGTTTGGCCTATCTAAAGTAATGTAAGTAGATACTCCTACAAGGGAAAAGGAGGGGTACTCCGTAATTCGAGGTTTCCCACATGTGGCACAGCAGACTGCCCGGAGCCAAACCCTACTGGAGACGTGGCTGGTGTGGCTGATGATTCCGCATACTAATCAATCCAGTACCGTCACTAATCAAATATTAGGGAGTTTCAGACCACTTTTTTTTTTGCTGTGGAATCGTGGAATATTCAGACTTTCAGCTATGACAAAATAGATTAATCTAAAAACCCTCACTACCAAATAAGCTTCTTTGGTAAATCTGTGATAGATCCGCTTAGTTATTACCCGAGAAAATCGTATAATTTTCCCCGTATTTAATTCTTAGAGATTAACTCTAACCCTAACTTATTCGTAGAGACTTTCTTTCGCGCTATTAAGGGGGGGAAATTTACGACGGCGTAATAGAAAGAACGGTAGAAAAGACGTAGACGTATAAGAGGTGATAGCTATAAGAGATAATAGTAGTAGTGATAAGAAGAAAGGCCTTTTAATTGGATAGATTTGCTAAGAGATGTAGAATATCGACACAAGAAATCCACCAAATAGGCCGATTTTCTTCACCAAAGGTATCCCAGGGTACCTTTGATGGATGGCGTGGATTTTTCAAGTTGTGGGAATTTCAGCGATTTGCCACCAACAGTTGGTGGCAAATCGCTGATTTTCCCACAACTTGAAAAATCCACGCTTTAAAAAAAGTGGTCTGAAACTCCCTAATATTGATTGACTCAGATCCGGCGCGATGGATGGCCGACTTTGGTTGCGCAATAGGACATTGAATGCGCCACATCTTTGACAACCGTGGGGGCGAGATGGCGAAAGTATGAAACATTTACCCCTGATTGCATAATCCTTGAGAAAGAAAGAAAATTTCCCACAGTTCTGGCACACCCCAAATTCAAAAATCAAAAATTTCAATTTTTCTGTATAGGTTCACAACCACAATTAATTATAATCTAGAAAATTATTAAAATTTAATAAATAGAGTATAGATTAGATTATAAAATTCTTAAAAGATTTAAATTATTCGTTATATTATTGTAAAATAGAATAATAGTAAATTTTACGAGATACTCTTGACAGCTTTAGAATAGTCGAGGTAAAAAAAAAATCTTAGCATTTATTTAGATGATTTTTTAGCGCAATGTTAAATCAGTAGTTTATTATTTTACTTACGTTGTAGAAATTAAATTTTTTAAATACTTTAATAATAGATATTTGAGTGTATAAAGTATATATTTTATAATTATTAGACTATCAGGTTGTGAATCTATATAAGAATAATTGAGATTTTGATTTTTGATTTTGGGGTGTGCCAGAACTGTGGGAATTTTTTTTCTTTTTTCTTAAGGATTATGCAATCAGGGGTAAGGAAAGGAACCGTTCAAGCGACGAGGCCCGAACCTTGCAGAAATTTCAAGCTAAGCATGTGAACGGTTTCACTTGCTGCAAACGCGAGACGGGTTCTGTCGCCTACCTTCTCCTGGACCTTCCTACCGTAGCTGGCGATGATTCTTCTTGGAAAGACTCACCATAAAAGAGCACTATGCCTGCATTGCCATTTTGAACGTACATCGAGTCTACCGCCGATCTCGTTCCTTATGTATTCCATCAGGAAGGCTAATTCGTTTCAGAACTCGTAGATTTTCCATTTGAAGATGTGATTATAGTAAGGAATGGAAGAGATTTCGATCATTTCCCATGGCTGAACAGAAGACTGTCGTCTGTGAAGGCTTGTTCTTCAGAAGCTCCCGCGACTATTAGATTTCAAGTTGGGAGTTGATTGTTTTCACCCAAGTTGTGCCTTGCTCCAACTGGCCGTTATGGAGTTGTCATGCTCTTCTTCCCCGTTCTGTTTCCCCCTAAATCTCCCGCGGCCACTGCCCATTCACCACAACTGTCCACGGAGCCGCTTCAAAAGTGTTTACGAGGGTAGTCCCAAGGTTCTTCGATAATTTCATGTTCTAGGGTGTGCGACTTTGAGAGGGCTACCTTGGTCGGAGAAAATGGAAAAAGAGAGAGCAGACAAGGCGTTGTATCGGATCATATGTGTTACGAGCTATGTTGCTCTGACACAATCGGAATGGGATCGAGGCCGGCGAATGGCTTCGAAGGGATAGTTGCTGCTGACGTCGCGCCTGGAGAGGTCGGAGCTAGACTGACCGTGAACTTTGCGTATAAATTTAGCTGTGGTGAATCCTACGTACCTACCTACCCGTATTGAAAGGAAACGTGACCGGAATAGAAGAAGAAAAACGCTATTAGCTAGGTCCGCTAAAAACGAAGTCATAGTTATGCTGAGCGAGCGGTTCAATAATGGGCAAGAGGGTAAAAAGTGCAGCTAGAAACGATTTCTTGGTGGCAATGCTCCCAATAGTCCGCCCCCAATTCCTGGACTGTTAGTCCCAAGACTGATTTCCGAAGCCGTCGCCCGCGTGGACGATAGAAGCGTAGAGAAGGACCGAACCCATTTACGTTGCAGGAAAGCAAGACGAGGAGGACGTGTCCTTGAGGGAAATAGAGGTACTATACTGAGGTAAGGTAGTCAAACCCGGCACCACCGGTATCTAGCACATGCTACAGCCAGAAAGAAGGAGAAAACGCTTTCTTATTGCTGCACCTCTCCAGTGGATACGCAGTCGTGTCACTGAGCGGCGCTCAAGGCTGGATGATGCAAGTCGGCGAGTCAGTAAGCTGTGGTTTGTTGTGCGTGAAGAAGCCCCGGTACGTCGATTTCGCTTTCGTGCGGCTGGGTGGCCCATCCGCGTTGGGAATGAAAGGATGTTTGCTGAACCCACAAGAGGTTGGATCAGAACGATTTCGAGATAGCGTGAATTCAACTTGAAGGCTACGCGATCCAACCTGGAATTGCTTGATCCGGTCTGCGATATTGCACCTGCGATCAGATGGGTTAGTCGGGTCCAGTGAGTGAGCAATGCTGGGACGGAGGGGTTCAAGCATATCTCTAACGCCGCAGAGGAGGATTTCGATATTGTGTTTGGGAAAAGTTGCCGAGGCCATCTGTTCGTTACCCAGCAAGTTTATAAGCATGTCGGAGATGGCGGATGACTAGTTCCGATGAGCAGTATCAGTGTGCAGGTAAACGGGAACTCGGGACGTTCCCAGTATGCGGGCAGCTAAGTTGCAGTGGAATCTTTTGTGCGCCAGCTTGCGAATGATAAGTTCACTTCGTTTCTCTTTTTGATGCGCTAGACAGAATCCCCAAATCCAAGCCCATAGTAGATGCGTCGCTGTCAGATGTTCGAGACAAGAAGATTTTGATAAACGCTGTTGCGCCTGGTGGCATCAAGATGGGCATGCTGGGCTGTCAGGACAAAATTACATCCAAGATGGTAAAGACGACGACATGTTGGGCGATAAATTGGAGTAAGCCTTTGCGGGCATATGTCCAACGAAGCGCCTTGGAGAGCCTCAAAACGTGGATCACGTTGTTTTATTCCTAGCCCGCGGGGCGGGACGGTGGATGGTCAGTCAGAAGTTGACTATTGGAGGAGGCGCGGCGGTTTAACGCTATGGCTCATCATCGAATCAATGAGGATGCCGAATTTGAAAAGCAATGATAGAGTGGGATCATCCCAGACCGTTACAAAGGTAGCGATCTGCTCATTGTTCATGGTGAAATTAGCACAGACGATGGATACCGCAGTGGCACATCGAGTATCTGAACAGCTTCGCCTTCCCAGCAGATAGCACAAGGTACACACATAGAAGAGTCCTAAGTGGGGTGGTACCCCCACGGCTAGCTGGGTTGGCAGTTTCTGACAGGATTCCTCCTAAATCAAGCAGTCTCGAATGGAGAGGAGCACCCTGCATGCCGATACTTCTCTAAGTACAGGCGATTAGCGTGCGTCGATGGATGCGCTTTCCATGACATACATAGGCAATTTTCTCTCTCTGTTTCCTTACGGAGCTAGTGCTGCAATTCACGGACGGGCACTATACCTGTACCGGACTAGGCCCAATTGACGCGAGCGGGGTAAGTCATCGGCCAAGGAGTGGTTCATGCAACAGCGAATTCTTTGCAGTTCTCACGCACTTTTGATGGACTTCTGGTTTATCGACGTCCTTCACTTACTGGACGCAGGAATTCCGCGGAGACAAACCCCACGAATCATTGAATTGAGCTTAGCTCCAAACGTCAGACTCGCAGATCCGGGGGAATGGTGCTTGATAAGTTGATATGCACTCCCAGTATGATTGGGCGAACACCTTCCTACAACGCATGTCTCCCCCATGCACTCCACGTGATCCGGTTTCATGCGAACCTGACTGGTTGCCTCTACCTGGCCTGCGAAACCCTGATTGGCAGCGTCTTGGTGACAATCGCCTTATCAAATACCCCTTTGGCGAGTGTCTTTCTGGGAAGATAGTCTGATCAAATGTCATAGGGGCACTGAGCTTCTCTCACTACCGGATCAGCATGCAAAGCCTCTTCCGTACAAGATCTTCATGAGAGCTTCCATGTCGAGAATGCTCTGCTGCGGAGCATCTCTTGGAATAGCCGACTTCATCATTATGCATCAGACAGTTGCATATCACTTCAGTATAGGTATACGCGAACATGACGAAAGAGATAAATGAATCAAAGACCGTGGAAGTGTTCTTCTGCACCAATGACACTTGATTTTCTTATCTTCCATTCACCGTCTCCAAGAGGCTTTCCACGACTTTAGAAAGGCAGAGCCCCCAAGCTTCCATCATCAATTCTAACAAAATAATCATCATCGAAATATACCACAAAGGCACCGGATAGACGATTCACCCACCAACTGAATTTTCAAGATGCCCGCCCAAATCAAGAAATATAAAGCTGCGGCCGTCACCGCCGAGCCTGGGTGGTTCGACCTGGAAGCATCAGTCCAGAAAACCATACACTGGATTAATGAAGCTGGCAAGGCAGGATGCAAGCTTGTTGCTTTCCCCGAAGTTTGTATTGCTCCCAGAAACTCGCAACCTGTGATCGGTTCATCACCACTCACAGAATGGGGTAGGGATTCCGGGTTATCCTTACTGGATGTGGAAGATCAATTACCAACAGTCTCTTCCCTTCCTGAAAGCCTACCGCGAGAACAGTCTGCCATCTGATTCCGATGAAATGCGTCGGATTCGTGCCGCAGTGCGTGAGAACGGCATTTACGTCTCCATGGGTTACAGCGAGATCGACATGGCAACTCTGCATCTTGCTCAGGTACTCATCGGACCAACGGGAGATATCCTCAACCATCGACGAAAGATCAAGCCAACGCATGTTGAGAAGCTCATCTTCGGCGATGGGGCTGGAGACACCTTTGAGTCCGTCGTTGACACTGATATTGGACGGGTTGGACAGCTGAACTGCTGGGAGAACATGAACCCCTTTTTGAAGGCCTATGCGGCCAGTCTTGGGGAGCAGGTAAATCTCGAATCTGGCAAGCGAGTGCATTGGCTGCTTTGTCTAATACGATAATCTCCCAGGTCCACATCGCAGCATGGCCCATCTACCCAGACAAAACCACTCTCAACTATCCGGACCCGTACACTAACGTCAGCGACCCCAATTCCGACATCGTCAGCCCAGCCTATGCCATCGAAACTTGCACCTACGTGCTCGCGCCCTTCCAGCGCCTGTCCCAAGAAGGCGTTGCGAAGAACACACCTCCGGGCGTCGAAGTCGAGACACCGGAGTGCTACAACGGGCACACCAGGATCTACGGTCCCGACGGTAGCCTACTGGCCCGACCGCCCAAGGATTTCGAGGGATTGGTATACGTGAACGTAAGCACGATGAACCATTCCCCCCTGCGCACGCAATCGTCGAGACCCAAACCCTAACCGCTAATGTAACCAGATCGACCTCGACGAGGCCCACCTGCCCAAATCCCTCGCCGACTTCGGCGGCCACTACATGCGTCCGGATCTGATACGCCTCCTTGTCGATACACGGCGGAAAGAACTCATCACGCACGCCGATACCAACGGCGATGTGGGGAGCTATAGCACTCTCGACCGTGTCGGTTTGTCGGCGCCGCTTACGGAGCCCAAGCCGGATGTACGTCCGATGAAGAAGATGGTGCCCCATTCCGTGCCCATGGAAGCGGGGTATTCCCAGGGAGTTGCGGTCGGTGTGAACGGTGCGCCGAATGGCAAGTGAATGATACCTCCATAGTCGAGTATAAGATGTTTGTTTCCCCGGTTCCAGTTACGGTTACCGGCCTGAACTGCTGCTGCTGCTTTAAACTGAGTTACACGGTGAAGAGCTATCTACTTCATCGAATCCCTCAAGGAACTGGTAGTGTACTTAGTCCGAAAGCATACAATCACGAAAGGAAACAATTTCACACTCTTCATCATCACATCATAATAAGACACACCCAGTAGCGCAATAGAATTTGTCCCCAATCAAACGTACGTCTTCATGCTCTAGTCCTATGTTCCAGTACGTACCCTCACCCAACGAATCCTACCATGATTCCGTCACCTGAACGCTTCCGCCTTTACAATCGCGCATGGTAATCAACCACTACTTTCAAGCGCACGCATACAAAATGGATCCTAAGACACGAACGCCACGCCAATACCCTCATCAGCGTCTCAATCCCCTGCCTTCCCCGGCGTGCGTTGTAAGTGAGAAGCAGGCGTCGGACGCTCTTGGTCCACGTCTTATAGCACTATAGGAATGCTTCAACGTCGACTCGGTGCTTGTAAACTGCTGCCAGTCATCCTTGATCTAACCGATCATCTTCCACCTCTTGGCGGAATGTAGTACAAAATGCAGTCCAGAATCCAGTCATCCGATAGCGAAGCTTGAGAGCGCGGTGGATTGTAGCGTAGGTGGTATTCCCATTTCGCAAATCGGGCGCGAGTGTCAACTAGACTGGTACTTGGAACGTCATCCGCATCTTGACGGCTCTCAGAACAGCTGTCGCCGTTGGGGTGGAACTCGAATAGCAGTCGTCGTGTTATAGATCTTGTTTACAGGGCCACCACGTCGCTAGCATTCGGGGCGATGCTTTTTTCGTCAAGCTTTCCACGGGTTAAGTCTCGATTGTTTGTTTACTCACAAGCTTCGAGATGATGGCCACAGAGGGCAGACAACGCACGTCTGATCGAACCGCCTTGATTGAGCGGGCGTCTGGTCTCGGTGCTCGAAGCTTGACAATTCTGTATCTGGCGAGTACGAGGGTTGGCTCTGCGACACCTTATCCAGGCGGGACAGCGGAGAGAGGAATCATAGGCCTCCAGCAAATCTTGATTGGACAGCTGCAGACTGCAAAAGCAAGCAAGTGGCATATGGGATGATACGGTATGGCTATGTAAGCTGACAACACCTTGCCTGTGTTTATAGCTGAACGTTTTATGCGTTCTCACATGTGGTCAAGATCCTCGTCGTTTCGGTCACAAGTACGCGTTGCCACTGCTGTTCTCACCTCTCAATATTTGATGAGCTATCCGTCACCCGATATACCTGCCATACTTCGCAAACTCCTCATCCGCCTTCAACCTCTCCATATCCTCATCCCTCAAACAAATCCCAACCGCGATCTCGCCATCCAGCGCCCTGGGCATTAGATATATCAAACTCTCGACCGGCTCAAATTGCGGTCTCCGCACAGACTCAGGTTTGCCCAATCCAAGGTTGAAATCAAGTTCATAACAGTCTAATTTCGCCCACGAACTCAACATGATGTCCGCTGATAGGTCAAGCGTCGCTGTGACGGAGAGGATATTTTTGTCTGGTGAGCGGTTAAGTGAGGTGGCGAGGGCACGGGTGTTGTACCCTAGATTCGATGTTTTGGGATCTAAAGCCGAGCGAAGCTGTGATGCGACACCGCCCAGCGGCTCCTCAACCAACTTCTCAAAAGTGTACGTATGATACGTCATATTCTGCACATGTCCTGGATACGTCCCTGGAATATCCAGATAATGCCGTACATCGACGGCGCGGGCGATAGTTGACTCAGCTGTGGGATTTAAACGGGGGAGGCGGGCGCGGATGACGGATTGCCAGATAAAGGCGCTGAGGGCGTCGTCGGTGGAGATGTAGCCTGAGTGGAGGGTGATGTTCTTCGTGGCTGATGATTTCAAAGCGGCGAGCGAGCCTGGGTCGAACGTGAAGTAGGTCCAGGTGCATTCTGGAGGAGAAGGTGGAGCCGTGTGGCTGTTGGTGTCGTTGGAGATGGGATGACATGGCGTGGGTTTCACAATCTGATAAGCGAGCTCGGAGCCTTGTTTATAGGAGTCGTCGAGTAAGGGGATGAGGTTGCCGCGGGCAAGGTTGCCGGATGACAGTTCTTCGCTTGTGAACTTTTCATTGCGGCAAGCTTTTGAGAAGAGATGGATGATCTGACCTTGGCCAGTCATGTCCATTGTGATGTGCTGGCCAACGAAGGTGAGCAGGAGACCGCCGGTGATGAAATTGGCTTGGAGGACGAAGACTGGTGCCGAGTCCGATGCGGATTCGTCGGAGCTTCCTGGAAGGGTTTTGAGAGGCGCAATGATGGTTTCGTCTAGCATGCTGAAGGGGAAATTAGCTCGTCTGAGGGCGTCTATCGTTGGTACTGAGGGGTCGTGTCTGAGATCTTTCACGACCAGACGAGGAATTTCCTCCAATGGTTTGATCTTGAAGATGCCGGAGTTGCCTTCACCTGAACCTTCGTTGACGACCTTGCCTGCTAGCCATGGAAAGCTCGCGGACAGTCGTTCGAGACCACTCGTCAACATGTTGATGATTGCTAAATGTGAGGAAGCATCGGCCACTGAAAAGCAAAAGCATATTTGAGTATATAGCTTGAATAATGACGGTTGTCCAAGAATATCGAGATACTCGTTCAGGTCCTTTACTATAGCCGCTCCATGCATGTTGGGCAGTTGAAAGTGCCCAAAGACCATATTTACGGCAGTTGGCGCTCTTTCCAAGATGGGACTTAACCACTTAACTCTGCCTCTGCTACGTCCCACTATGAGTCAAGTCCAAGCAAGGTAAGTTACGGTCGCACTTACTCTAGCGTAAAACTAGCGAGAAGCTAAGGTAATGTAAGCCAGTCTAACTTGTTTTGGGCAACAGGGTCTAGACTAAGATCTGGAGGTCTTACTCTGCCATCCCTTGCCATCGCCCTTGGGCGTGCTGTAAACATCACCTAGTGTCAAAAGTCTCCAAGCGCCACCAGCGCTGCTGCGTTTCCGATGTGACGGCAGACTCGAGGACGGTGAACCGCAGCGGACCTGTCAGAGAAGAGCTGGGGAAAGGTAGAACCTGGCTCATCGATCTGTTGCCATCTGCTTGCGCACCGATCGAATCATCTTGGGATTACAATGTTCTACCATCGCTAGGCAGACGAATCTTTCCAACCTCTGCATGTTCTCTATGCGCTTCTTCTTTGAGAATGACCTTGATGGGGAAAGTCTTCCTGTCGAATAAGAACTGCAGACAATCATGGGATAGGCGTTTAAAAGGCGGAGTATTCTGAAACGAAGACTGCGAAGAGATCAACAATCATGATTCCCAAAGCTCGACTCGTAACACCAGAATGCATCACCAAGAAACGCAGCACGAGTTCAAACACGTTGCCGTTGCCAATCACGGATTTCTTGCAGCAACGGAGCGTCCCCGTCGACATGAGGGAAACAAGGTCCCTATGCTCAGAAATCTTATCATAACATCATCGCCAGAGGGACGAGAAGAAAAAATGAAGCACGCATGGCCCGTGCAGCTTATCCAAGGCTTCGCATCCTCTCCGACTGAAACCGAGCGTCGCGAACGCGAGATTTGCCCCAACGAAGCCCAGCAGGGCCAGCATTGCCGGTCTCGCTGCACGAGCTGTCGGGCCGGGCGGATCTGCGGCAAGTCTTGGCACGGGAGACGCGAGTTGCGAAGGCGCTGCAGACGGATCGCGGTAAGTTGGGCAGTTGCATTCATATGGTATTGGTTCGTGGGTCAGTGTTAAGATTTCGCGAGGCTGAGCTTAGAGACGAGGATGAAGAGAGTGTTCATCTCCTAATTCTTTGAGTGGAAGTGGGACTTGCGTCTGATTATCCATAGAGAGTGACGTGCAAGATGACGGTTGCTGGTAGCTTTTCCCCACATATACAGCGTATCGTATTGTGTCACCTCGCGTCGCGTCAAACTTGCATCGCGTCGCATCGCACTGCATTGCGTCGATTTCTATTTGCTGTTTTGATGCGCTGGCCAGGAATATTTGCGACAACGGACGCTCGGCTTCGACTTACCAAAATACATCGCGAATAGCTCCTAGAGAATACGCATACTCGTATACCTTGCAAGTCGGCAGAGAATAGGGCCCGAAACCCGGAATACCACCTCTGTTCAGCACCAAAATCATATCTGCGATTATTTTTTCTGAGCTTATGGTTCAACCGACGTGAGAGGGCTCTGTGTTCGGACTTTTATAGTTGAAAGAGAAAGATGAGGCTATGAAATTAGCCTTGCATTAGAGGGGATGTATACTTTACAGTACTAAGATACCAAGATCAGGTTCGGTCAGTCTGCTAGCTCACAGCTGCTTCCTACCTAGCATTCTTTTCGACTATCCACCATAACCCATGATGTCATCTATCTTCAAAGCCCTTTCCAAAACCTTATATATTTCGGATCGGTGCTACCTGATCAAAGATCTCGGGCACTTCACCATGAAGACCTTCTATTCTATTTTGAAAATTGCGTCATACATCTTTCCAGATCTCAATGAACAAGAAGGCATACAAATTCCCCTCCACATCGACCAACGTTGACAGTTTCCTTTCTGAGCGCTGGTCCGCAAACGCCGATGCCCGTTACGCTAACGATGACAGAATCATTTTCGAGCTTTTCCAAATGGGATCTAGGAATGTATTGTCAATCATCTGGCGCGGGTGGAGATGGACTTGATCTTGGCGAAGTTTCAGTGAGCGGAGGGGAACAACGTAGACAATGGGACGGATCAGAAGGTCCCTATGATTTATGAGAAATTACCGTAGTATGTTCAGCTTTCCACAAGGACTTGAGTCCGTAGTAGGTAGTGGTCAATTCTCTGAGCGCTTGAGAGGTATGAGATCTATCGGATGTCAGGACCTCAAGTTGCTGATCCAGACCCGCCATCTTCGACGGCTCTGCCACTCGTTGAGATGGCCCCCCGAGCTCAGTGGTTCGGATCTTGTCTGAATTCCTTGGCGCAGCTTACATGGGCACCATAGAATAACGCATGTGTGACGCTGGTTTCCTGCCACTGAGCACCGTGCGGTATATTCAGGCTCTAAAAGTTGGGAAGAAAGCTGGTCTCGAAGGATACTAAGGGAGTGCAGTCAGCGATCTCAGGTTGACAGACAGCCCGGACATCGAAAGACGGTGATGCTCAACTTCGAAAGCTTGGCATGCTTGCACGAGTCCTGCCTTCTGGCAGCCAGCCATCCGAGCGGTCAGAGAATGCCAGACAGTCCCGAACGCCTGATTTTAATGTGTGCCAGTATAATTCAATGTTGTTACATTTCGTTCTAGCACGGCATATGAGGAACGTAGTTGGCATCCGTGATATTCATGACGACTGGACTAAACATTTCAGCGGTGAACTAATCTGGTCTGGCGCTAAATTACCGCCCCACCTCCCTTCTTGTCTCTCATAATCACGAATCTCCACCTTGCTGCTCTTCTCCTACCACAGCGAACAGCTTCTCGTCGTTCCAACTTCCAAGTACAATAATCCACGAGAACCAGGAGCCTGGTCTATCACTGCTGCCATCACACCACCTAGGATCTTCGTGGAGTGCTAGATCTCACAACTTCTCTCATAGTCTCTCGGAATCTAATTTGATATATGGAGAGATTAGAAGTAACCTTACCTCCCATTGCTACTCTATGACTGCTCATGGGACATTGATCTGTTACTAGTTTTGCCACAAACCACACAATCCTCATTTCTCACTTGGTCCCTATCGACCTCACTTGTTCTTGCTCACCTCTGAGATATTTGCAGTTTCTCTTCTAAGCTCTCACGCTTCAACCTCACTACGCACATTGCCCTCACCCCAGAAGACTTTCCAGATTTGAGTCTGGCGGATATTAGCGTCCATCATTCAGCTCACACTCATCTCCGAATCAGCTAATTCGCTTCAGCGAGTCCTTGCATCCATTTTCTTGTCATGGCCCCCTCCCACGAAGAGTCTCGCCTCGCAACAGGCGTGATGACCTACATGGGCCAGATTTCCGAGCAAACTTCCTCACGATACGACAAGAAGATAGCACGAAGCTCCGAACTTAAGAGCTTCATCTGGTACTTGTCGGAAAGAGCACCGTCGTCAATGATTGGTCTATTGAAGTCCGCCTCTCGAAAGTGTGAGGAAGCTCTGCGTGCTGAGAAAGAGGCTCGGATTGCCAGGAAAAGGCCAGTGCCGCCGAATGGCAATGATCAAAATGCCAAGCGCCTCCGGATCACTCATCCAACCGAAGAAGAGACAATCCCGAGCCAGCGGGCTGCGGAAATGGATTCGATGGCGCAGGTGCGATATCAATAAGGTTCTCTTCAAGGGATTTAGATGCTAATTTCAGAGTGCTAGGGACATGCCGACGCTCTTCAGCGGTCGGGTAACACTGTTCCTGCCTGCGACAATGGCATCGCCATCAAATTGGAAAGCGAGCAAGAGCCTTTTGACTGGACCAACATGATGGATGAGACCTTAGTGGTCTACGATAGCGATGAGCACGATGATACCAGTAGACAGCTCGTCCCAGAAAGCACATACGAAGTCCCAAATTCATTAACAGGACCTGTCAACTCGGGTCTTTCCATTCGCAAGATTAGCATTGGAAAGCGCATCACGCTACAGCAGAAGCTCCAAACAGCACAGTTGGACGTTCGAGACGATATGGTCGAGCAAATGAGATCCGCGAACAGCAATGGGGACGAAACAACGACTCCACGAAGCAAGTCGTACTGCTCTGACATGACCCCTCTACACACATCAGCTTCAAAGAAGGTTGGAGAGAGCAGAGTTGAGGACTCGGACGAAGATACCAACCCGAAGCCTACGGAGAACAAGCCTTCGAACGTGGCCGCTACTTCTGTCCACGAACTCCAGGTGGGTGAGATAGTACCATTGCCGACCCAGTATCAGGTCGAAGTCGGTCTCCTTATGAAGACCCCCGCAATCGAAGCCTGTGTTAAAGCCCATTGCCTCAAACTGAAGCCTTTTGCGACCCGACCGCATTTTGATGTCCATGATGAGATGGCCAAGATACTGGACAAGTCCCGTTTGTTAGAATTCTACAAGGTCAGGCGCGAGCTGTACCAGTATCTAGAGGACAGAGTGAAGATGCCAGGCAAAAAGCTGCAGGCTCGTACTATTTGGAATATGTCTGACCCTGGCGAGATTCTTGACGCACTCCAGACCGTCAAGACGAATACTGCCGATACCAAAATTCACCGGGCTTATGGCCAGACCATGCTATTCTCGTTGGTCAATACCCAAGTCGCCAGAGGATACAAGTCTACCGTTTCTGGCCATCGCTTGAACCACAGAGCGATATTGGAGGAGTTGGCTCTCAAGAAAGCGGGTTCAGTGTCAAAGGCAGAGACAAACTATATGATCTCTGGCTACCTCCATGAGTATTATGCAGGGCAGAAGTGGTCGGCGGTAATCGATTGGTTTCGTGGCAGTGGGATAGTCTTGGTATTCGTGACAGCAGGTAAGTCATGACCCTCACTAATACGTACTCCTGGCGAGGAATGGGGCTCTTCTAACCTTTTCTAGGAATTGGAAACCACTACGTGGAGACAAAGTGGACCGAATTTCAAAGAGATTGCTTGCAGTATATTGCGGGATTACTTCACAGCATCAGAGGACTGGTCGAGACCCTTGGTTCTGACGCT